TAATTGGAATCTTCTTTGTCCTCGTCATAGTCCATGTCGTTGTCGTTGCCATAGTCAATGTGGTTGCCGTCCTTTTCCTTGTCCTCTTSACCATTTTTAGACTCACCTGTCATTGTAGCATTGCTGGAAATGTTTTCTTTGTTGTTCCTCCTCTTCTTCTCCTCACCACCTGTACTGCTGGTTGTACATCCTAATCTTGGGACTTGTTTCTTCGTTTGCTTTGTGGCTCTACCACTTTTTGCAGAATTTTTCACTATCCGTTTGTTTCCTCCMACCTTTTTGTCCTTGCTATGACTTCTTGTATTACCAACACTGGTAGTAGCAGCGACATCAGTATTAGTAGTCTTTGTGGTTGTGCTGTTCTTGTTAGCACTCTGTCTGGTAAGGCCATTCATACTATTCGAGACTGTTCAGCATGGAACATTTTGGTTTGGTTTGATTTTGGTCTCACAGAAAAAGAAAATTATGTCACAAAAAAGATGGTGTCAAGCCGTGGCTGTACGTATGATTTCTCTACGAGAAGATCTGGTTGTTGACAAAATGTCAACTGTCAGGTTTTATTTTTAGTCCATGAAAACAAACAGGCAAGCCCGCGCCGTTTTTTTCATCCTTGTTTTTCATATCTGCTAGAATTACGTACCTGGTACTGCTGTTGGTGTTTTGTTGGAGCAGCTCCTCATACTACTATTACTAGTGGGAACTACCACCACTATTACAGTACTAGTTCCATGGGTACCACAACTTGTTAGTAGCAATATTATAGATAATACTAGTAATATGTAACATACCTATGTTGTCATCAACCCAATCTTTTTCGGATTCAGATGGGTATGGTAGATGAGAAGACATAATTTTTTCCCAAATATTCGGCGATGGACATACTCAGATGACATCGTTGATGATACCTGCATGACCATAGACCAAACAAATGAAATCAATGATTGAACTCAACGATTTCTTCCTGCATTTTGACATCAAGATGAAATCATCGAACGACATCATCAAACAACATCAAATATTACTTCCGCCTGGAATAAGAGCACTTCTTGACATGATAGAGGAGACCAATTTTGCCTTGTTCCGACGACGTCCTTTCACGACGTCCTTTAACGATGTTTGGATGACATTCCTATCTGAAAAACCAATCCTTGACACCACAAAACCACGTTCGAAAACGACATTGATTATCCATCTGATGGGGTGACACGGTTGGTGGGGGCTGGGGGAAAAAGGTTGACTGCTGGAAATTCAGTGGTTTGGGTTTGGGGTGGTGGTGGTATCTCCAGCTGCGACTATGACTGGGGGGGGGAGAACCGCATTTCTGTCCCCAGCTGGAGGGTCTGCTTCATCCCTGGGTTTGCTGGCTTGGGCTTGGGTCACTCTCGCTTTTTTTGGGACGGTKGGTGAACGTGTAGGGGAAATACCTGGGGAGGGGTGATCCGTCTCGGTCTTTGTTGGTTGTGTTCCAGTGGCATTGGGTGCAACATCACCAATGGACACAACCACATCTGGAACAGCAGCATCTGGAACAGCAGCATCTGGAACAGCAGCAGAATAATCTGTTAGCTCGGAGACATCAAAGGAGACTGTTAGGTCGATGG